TTTTTCTCGTTGATTTCCTCATGGGAGCGACTCTGTGAGGCCGTGCAAGGTCCTATGAGGCCGCTAAGGGCGTACCCTGCTGCAAAGCTTGTCGTCCGCACCCATAAGGCCTGCCCCCTCTCCAACAGGTACACATATTTCCCTTTTTTGTTCTCCAATCTATATCCTTCAAAGGTATCTTTTTATGAAGATTAGCGTACTCTTTGATCTCACATTGGGGGGGGTCAACCGTCACATTGTGGCGATCTGAAAAGTTTTACGACCCTCTGAAATGGGCTTTCCATCACACTTCTTCCACCATTCCTCTGAAAGCAAAAACGACCCCCTCTCCATCAACAAATCACAAATACGACCCGCTCGCTAGCAGACTGATCTAACTCGTATTAGGTTGGGATAAACCAATGTGCAATTTTGCCTATTTGATACGATTAGGTTTATTTTCTTCGTCTGCCGAGATTTTCACAAAGTATTCCTGGTTTGTAGCTTGAGGGCTAGAAATCAGGAAATCAGACGTACTGTTATAATGTAGGGACGAACTCGATAGGGAATTGTCGCCAGTTCTCCAGGAGGGTGGTGGCGAGCTCTTGACTTGGAATTCCAAGTGTAACTGATATGATTCATTTCTGTGGTGGCCTGTCCTGGCCACACAACAGTGATCGCGTTAAATCCTTCAAAGCAATGGTAAAGACTAAGTAAAAAAAAGCTAAAACAAAAGCAGTAAGACCTGTCTCTTGCAATCCAGTTTATAGACTAGATCACCGCAGTTCACGCACACTTACCACACAAGAAACAGCAGAAAAAGGGCTTCCGTAAGCTTTTGTTCAACCGATAATAGTGGAACGATGGATGCGTTATGATAAATTGTTTAACAACGTGCACGTTGACCAATTTATCATTGGCGTATCTCTCATACAATGCTGTGTCGCAGTAATGTTTCTGCACTTGACGGTTAGAAGCGGTTTTCTCTTTGGTAGCCGGGGAAACGGTGAACATTCCTCTATTGAAATGGTAGAACAATGGGATCAAAGCTGATTTGACCGTACCTTTACAACCAAAGAATGTTCATTATAAATGATTTGACAACTGGCGTATTCTGAAAGTGTGTTTAGTGGGAACAGTTCCCATACATTTGAATATTCAATGACATCACTGTGTCTTCGGATGTCAGGAATGCAGGGAATAAAGAAAGGACTCTAGAAACGGTCAAAATGGGAAATTTGAAGGACGCGAATTCCAAACACTCGATAATTGGCTTGCTTGTAATTTTTCTCCTCCCTCACGTTCCACTCGAGGCTGATTAATAATGGTGGAGGGTGAAAGCTGTCTTTGTCCTGGAATTCGGTTCTGTTCTCATCTTTTTAGTAAGAATTATACAGACACTTACTGTTTGGACATCTTTCACCTCCGTATTCGCGCGTCTGGTCTCCTTAAATCAAGTGGTAGGAACTGTTTGACGGTGGTAAGTCCAGGTACTCGTGAACCACACGATTTTAGTGAAATCGAATCTAATTTTCATTTTGAGTTGTAAGGTTCCATCCATAGCCATCACTTTGGGAGCAGGGAATCAGCGCACATCCAGATTCTAATTGGTTGATCCCAATCAACGTGTTTCCATTTCGCCGGTTCTCTGATTCTCTCGAGACGCGATCTTCTCGTGTTCTTGCATGCAGCTTTCTGTAATTACAAATCTGAAATCCAAACCAACTTCTCAGTATTTTTATATTATGTAAGATTTGTAGTGGTTACCTGGCAAAGGGGAAGCTCAATAAGCATTGTCAAGGATTCCAGGTCATAACATCCCATTACAACACGGCATCGTCTGAAGGTTCTGTAAGAGAAGACCAGAGCGTAGCTAGATGTGGAATGCCTGAAAAGTTGGAACAGCTTTCACTAGAAACAACATTAATTCCAGACAAGACTCCTGTTCGGCTGATGGATACACCACGTCCGTGTATACGCTGTCGATCTCTTCAGCCACGTACGACAATCATCGTCCGTGGTATTTGGAAGAGTGCCCGTCGTCGATTGCTACGACTTATAGCTCAGCGAACATCAATCAACCGGCTATTGTGAGTTCTCTAATCGTTGAAATTATTAATAAAAGTATTCATACCTTATCAGCCTATTGGTATATTCTTCCTGTTTAGGTCACCGTCGATGTCCCATCAGGTTGCACTAAAATGCATACAGGAACCAGTGCGTCAGCTCCATTGGCTGCTGGTATCATAGCGCTGGCACTCGAAGCCAAGTAAGTCATTTGAAATCGCTTTATCGGCATAGCTTTCTGGCAGTAAGCTATTACTTTTCAGCCCTGACCTCACTTGGCGAGATATGCAGCACATTGTTCTCCGGACAGCTAATCCTACACCGCTTCTGGGAAATCCTGGCTGGTCGCAAAATGGTGTAGGACGGATGATCAGCAACAAGTGAGTATCATTATGTAATTTCAGCTCTTTCCTCGTGACTAGTTGACAATGCTGAGAAGGAATTGAGCACTTCCTATACGTCTGTTTCTATAGGTTTGGTTACGGTCTGATGGACGGTGGTGCCCTTGTAAAGTTGGCGAAGACATGGAAAACGGTTCCCGAACAGCATATCTGCACGTATGAGTACAAGCTGGCAGCTCCAAAGTAAGGTTTCACTTTCATATCTCAAGAGTTCCGGTCCATGAGTTTTTGTTTTCAGCCCTCGTCCGATACAGGGTCGTTTCCAAATGAATTTTACATTGGAAGTGAATGGATGCGAGTCTGGAACGCCCGTTCTCTATTTAGAACATGTGCAGGTTCATGCGACTGGTAAGCGCGTCTCTCAGAATTATTTCATTTTAATACCCAATATTTGCCTTTATAAACTATACTTAATCATACTATCTAATACAGTGATGTCCATTTTAGTGCGATACTCGAAACGTGGTGACTTGAAACTCACGCTTTTCTCACCGTCTCGAACGAGATCAGTCTTACTGCCTCCTAGACCTCAGGTTTGTTATCCTTGTCAAATGTCTTCATACCATATGTAACACGGCGCGCTACTGGCCTTGCATAGTGTTGTTGTTTTGATTCCTTGTCGTGCATCAATATACTTCTCACCTCCACGGGTTCATTTTACATGTGCTACCAGAAATGTATCACAAACATACCTACTTAATATTGGTCAAAGATGCTGATTTGTGGCTGGTAGTGAGTCTATGGAAAAATCAGTACCGTGTTATTAATGGGATTTCGATATGTGGGACACCCAGACGCCTTCAACTCTTGTTTGTTGTCGAAAGGCCATAAAACAGCGTTTTCAGGATTTCAATAGCAATGGCTTCCACAAATGGCCTTTCCTCTCAGTACAACAATGGGGTGAAGATCCACGAGGAACGTGGGTTCTCATGGTCGAAAGTGTGACCAATAACCCGACAGCCTCTGGTGATTTTTAGATCTTATTTTGAATTCATTTTACACTTAAGATGCGTTTACGTGAAGTTTATCATTCCATTTATCAGGCACTTTCCATGATTGGACGCTACTTTTATACGGTACGGCTGATCCAGCTCAACCAGGTGATACAGTTCATCCACCAACACCAGTACCCTCTCAATCGGTGCTGACTCGGATACATCAACTTACGAGCCAGGTCGGACTTTAGATCTTTTGGTTTTGACGATATGCAGAGCAGATTAAGTCGAATGATACCCGAAGCTCGTACCTAAACGAAATTGCTAAGGTTTTCGTCTGTGAAACTAGTGCGAGTTTCGTGTTCATTTGCGTTGAACTAGATGTGATGCACCTTTAAAGTGGTGTGACTTTGCCTGATTCTTGTTTGCTGATCAAAAGCGTTGCTAACCCTTATTTTATGTTTGCTTGCTTTCTGTGAATTTGATTGCTCCATTACTTCCCCAAGCACGCCAGCTTTCAAACCTAACCTGTCTCAGTCCTCTAACCTTTGAGACTCAACTCGCTGGCCCTGCTGAATCTGTGCCTATTTGTTACGCAAATAAATACAAACGTACAGCGGAAACAGTGGTGCCGAGTGTTGCTTGTTGGCTTACTACTTCTGTTCACGCTCACATTTTGTTTGCCGCGCCTAACCTCCTGTGAATGATGCATAATTGGTGGTGGTTAGCCGTCCGTATTGTTGGTGTCTTGCAGAAGTTTCGGAAGCGTCCGATGGCATTCTCACGCACCCGTCAATTCTCGATACCGGGTGCTGCGACAGCGCCACAACGATCGCCGTTTGTGCGACCGAGAACTCAGCGCCCGTTTCAAAGCAACCAGCTGTCTGGCAGATGGGTATTCAGCCCGAGGTCACGCCAGTGGGTCTGGGTGGATCTGCGTCAGTGGCAGCATGGAAGATATCGACGATTCTAGTCTACCAGAAGTGCCCTCTGTTCCCGATGAAACGTACCTCTTATTCGCATGGGGTTTACGGTGATAGGGTTCATATATCACTCACTTGGCGCCAATTACGACCACAACACTGAGTCGCACACACTGTTCCGCTGTGTCGCGCGAACGATTTACATGAGCGTGCGGTAGCCGAGCGATGAGATGCGAAGCGTATTCTCTCTGCAGATAACGTTTCCCGTTATGTTGATGGTCGTTCAAGCGGTCGTACTGGTAGTGATTGCGACATCGGCGGCGATCGCTTGCCGTCGCGCTACACCATCTCTTCCTTCATCTACACCGCTTCCTCCAACTTATCCAGTGATGATCGACGAGTCCTGTACCTCTTCCTCCACTGCCGGCTCTAACGGTGTATCTCAAACCACTCAGCACCAGCTGCATCACGAACACCCAAACAGCGCAAACAATGCATTTACGTACTGATTTTGATGTAGTATGTTTTGATTAAGATATAACACACCCATACACACAGACACACGATCTCATTCAATCCGAGTACGCATGGTGGCATCTGGTCGGGGCATCCGGCCCGGAGTTGCGCGGAAAGTGCGAATAAAGTCTGTGTGGAGTAGAACTTACGCCCATCAGTCGTGGGCACTCTTTGAACAGGTGTGGCGCGGCTAAAAGTGCCTACGATTGGTGGCCACAAGCTGTACTTCAGTCACAGGCTTTCTTTGCACTTTCCGGTCATCTCATCCCCAGAGAGTGCAAAAAAAGTTCGGGTTGAATGTGATCATACGGTTTATCCTATTTCGAAATATTATGCGTTGAAATGTGGCTGAGCACAGCGGTAGCGTCACGCGTAGCGTTCTTTCCTTTGTGTACAAATGTTTTAGCTCCATTTTGGTCAGGTACATTTTCAACTTGTAGGGATTTTTTGCGAATTGGTGAACAATGGATTGGACTTAGGGTATAGATCTATAGGAAAAGACTCCTTGCAGAGGTATGTTATGGGTCAGGAACGCGTCGCGTGACGGTGCGAGGCGTGTTGAGTTGCGTTGTAGCGCGTGTCATTCCGATAGGAATGAACCGTTGAAAAAGTTTATCGTGAAAAGCGCGTGCGTGGTTTAAATTACAAGGGTATTGCTTTGCGTGTACTTCTGGTCATTCCTTTTCTTTCCTCACCCCCTTATATACCATATTACCATTTTTACCTTTTCGTTGTTTCCTCTTACCTGACCGCATCCTCGCATGTATTGGTTTTCGTCCATTTTCCAAGCTTCTACTATCGTATTCTCTTCTGATTTTTATGTTTTATCTATTGTATTGTGGAGGAAATAGCAAATTAGAAAGGAGAGTGGTTAGTTATTATGTTTAGTCTCCGGCCACGAAGTTCAATCTTATGCAGAGTTATTTCAATGCGGTTTTTTCTAAGGCATTTGGAGGTGTGTGAAGGAAAATTTCCATAAGTATTATTTTCTTTCCCTACTTATCGAATGCTTTTTTTGTCAGGTTTCATTTGAGATTTTAGTCGTCTCCGTATTTGTCCTGCCCAGATTATGTTCTCACACTGTCACATTGAAATAAGAGTGCCTTAGTTATTGAGCAGCAGTTTGAGGATACCTTAATGATTCCCCTGTTTTTCTGCCTTTTCTGAGAAATTAGGGTTCTAAATTGCTATTATATTAGCAAACGGTTAATTTTTAGGAAATGAACATTGCCACATGATATCCGTTCTTTTAATCCTATTAGCGCTCTTCTAACCAATATGAATAATATTCTTGTTTCCAATTATTATAATTATTATATTGCAAGATGAAAAGTGAATCGCTAAGCCCGACCACAGTCGAGTTTGCATGATCGTAGATGTTGTGGTGTTTGTGTATGTTTGTACCATATTGATGCACCGTTTATTCATCATTAATTTCAATTGAGACGTGCCTTGAGAGTACCATTTTTATATAAAGAAAATTTATCTGTGAATAAATTGTTTCTCAGTGTCATGGTGTGTCGGTGTTGTGGTCGTATATCAGGTGCTTTAATCATCAGTTTCAATTTAATTCCACCTCACTTTCCTTCCTTTCTTCCTTCGTTTCCAAAGTCGCGTCTCTCTTGCGTTTGTGATGATGGTGATGGTGATGGTGGCGGTGGCTGTTTTGGTGGTAGGGTCGGCTTTTTTCCGTCCTTTCGTGTTTCTCATTTCACTGCTTCAAGGTTTGGGTTCACTTTCGATGGTAGTGATGTCTAGACGGTGACCTTACCGGTTTCCAACGCGTCGTCATCGACTTTATTAGTGCACTAAAGCCTGTCTGGCTGCATTCAAGCTTGCGCAGCAGCATGCTTTTCGTAGTTCATGGAAAACGCAAACACAGCACACTCTAAACCGCCCTTGAAAAGTGCTTGAAATAAAAGTGTTGACTTGAGTTACTACAAAAAGAGGTCGCTATTCTCCAAAACATCCCGTTCCACTGAAACTATTGTGACATTTTTCTTGCCAAGGGAAAACCACTTCTATATGGGTCCTTATGTAAACCATAAAGAAGACAGTATTTGCCAAGTACACAAAATATTCCTCGCAGTAGAAAGAGGTTTCTGAAATGGTTTCTGCGGAAAACGCTGGGCCAGAACATCAAAGGATAATCTCTAATCGTTTGATACGAACACACTTTCTTGTGTCGAAGTCACAAAAAAAAACACGAGTCGGGTGGATTGGTGCCCTGACAAGCAAAGAGTTACCGGTGGTCATGGATCTGGATGTTCGTAGGGATATGATCTGTTTCCTCAAGAGGTGCGTTCAGTCATTGTTATTATTGGTAATTCGAGCAGGAAGAGGAAAAGAAAGCGTAGAAGAGAAAAGAAAGTCATTCACGATTGTTTCAAAACGGCAAACCCACTTATTCTCCATTTTAAAAAACGAGAAGATCGTCGGGTGCAGACCACACACCACAAGCGACGACGGCCACCACAAAATGCAAATGTTTTGCCAATAAAATGATTAGCCTGTTGCAGTTGTATTCTGTCGTTGTCACTAATTACAACTATCATTTACCAAAAATCAGCTATCACTATGAACCACTACTAACCAGATTTACTTGGAGGCCGTCGTCACTTGTGGTGTAAGGTCTGCAATCGACGCTTTTCTCGTTTGGAAAGGGAGTATAGATCACTTCGGGAAACACGGTGTCGCCCTGTATTTGCTTCACTTGGGTTTTGCGTGTTCTGCATGCTTTTCGTTCTTGCTGCGGAAATACGACACAGATGTTACATACCCTCGCCTTCAAATGACCAGAAATTGTGCAATTGCAGAAATTGACGTGGCATTGGCACACGTGGCTAAATTCTCGATGAAAAGGTGACATCACGTGTGCTCAAAGATGTTTCTTGAATCGATGCCACGTTAATGCCACGTCAATTTCTGCAATTGCACAATTTCTGGTCATTTGAAGGCGAGGGTACGTCGTTAACGCAACACTCGAGTTAGTCGCGAGCAGGCGAAGTTGCGAGCATGTCATATACTCCACTTGCCACAGTTGACTGAGAGTGCAGGAATCGAAGCCATGGCCGTGCTTGGCCGATCGGTAACTTTGTGAATTTGGTTTCAAAAATGAAGCTGCATGATCTAATTCTATCTGAATGCTAATCGAACCTACACAGTCTCGCCAGCAACGACCGAGGGATGAGAGAAGGGTAGTGACGCAGAGTGCGCTCTGCCTCCATGACTTTCTCCCAATTTGTGTACGAGTTTTGCTAGGCTAACTAAATTGATCCTCAGGCGCTACCTGCATGTAAGGTTTTTGTTTAGATTGATGAAGTCGAGCCGCTGACGTTCGGTGACCTTCGCTCTGTGGGTGATTGCCATCCGGAATGCGATGGCGGATGTACGGAAAGTCAATCGGCTGTGGCATGCTTCCGATGTAAACATTTCACACAAACACTCCGAAACAAAGCTGGCAATGGCCTTCAGAGTGCCGTGATTGTTTAGAATTCTATAAAAATCTGGAATTGGTATTAAATGCAGGGATGACATCAGGGTGAACCACCACTTGTAAAATTTTTTAGGACGTACCCTTCCCAGAGGGGCCTCGATACGCCTCCTCCCCCCAACACCGCCACTGCCATGACCACCATGCCTGTTTCTACAGTATTTGATTCTTAGACCAGTCGACACTTCGCTCCGCCGCTAACTCTTTTCGCCTAGTCCAGCGGGGGAGAGAATTCTCCTAATTTCCTACTGCAAGCGCTTCTGGCTCCTTTTTGTAATGATTTCGTCAAAAACGGGTCAAAAATGACGCTCACATTTCCTGAAAACAGGATCGGCGTTCACACTTTTCCGAGGTGGTTGACCTTTTACCACCCCACACCCTCCCCACTTCTCTCAAGGTCGCAGATACAACCCCGTTGGGAAGATGGAACAGGCGGTTCGACTTCCAATGAGAATGGTCAGACGTTTCTTGCCTAGTGTATGGAGTTTGTTGACCTGTTTCTGCGTTTTCAGAAAATTTTCCTACATGCCTGGCACCTGGTTTGTGAACGAAACTATGTGAGCAATTATGACAAGGTAGTGCTGCACAACATGCACTTGAATCACGCTGGAGCAATGATGATTCAAAGCGCTAAGAACTGCTTGCTATCTTGAGCGTTTATCCCAGTTGGTAGCGAAAAGTGCTTTTCTGGTTTATTGGCGCCACTTTTCTCGACAGTGTCTGATCGGGACGAGTTTTCCAACGCTACGTGCCCCTCATGCTGCAAAGTTCCTTTAGGCCACTTCTGATCAAAAATTCAAAGAAAAAACTCACAATACACTTTGAAACAATGGTCACAATAATCCTGTTGAATAATGATAAGGTGGTGAAGGAAGGCTCTCAAAAAACAGCTCAGAACTCAAGTCCGCCCACCACTTGTTCAAACTTGATCCGTCGTATCTTTTATCCCTCCGTTTTGAGGTAACAGTTTTGCTTCCACCAAACTACCACCATCCTAGCTGTAAGCTAAACTGCACAAAAATCAACGGGCAGAATAGCTCGTTCCTATTGTTTTTGCTGGTAATCCACTTTTCACTTTTCTGAAATTCACAACGTGTAACACCCTAGCATTTTTGAGCAGTCACACATTGATAAAAAAAATATAAAGCATTTGCGGTTGATCAATCCCTCAAGTAGTCCGTAAACCCATAGGCTATATTTACCGCTTCCTGCTGTGGCTGTACAACTCGTCCGCCCAGCACATTTTGTTCCGTTCTTTTTGCCTTGGCATCAGGCAGCAGAAGCTGCCCACCCTTTTTTCAGGTCCTTGGGTGTCAACGCGATTTTTGAGACCCAAATCATCCAGACTGATCATTTAGGAAGTCTAATTACAGTCGGTATCTCGAACTCTGATTGGGCGTGTCACCGGAAATGACGTGGCAGCCATCGCACTTGCTAGATGCCACGTGGATAAGATACTCCGCCAGATATCAGCGAAGCATGCTGGAAGCAGCTTATCCGCGCAATTTCTATCAAGTGCGGTGGCTGCCACGTCATTTCCGGTGACACGCCCAATCAGACTTCGAGATTTGGAGTGTAGTTAAGGTTTACGGACTACTTGATTCCAGTGCAAAGGTTTGTCCTCAAGGCGAGCTGGCCGAGTTGTCGTGAAAATTTGGCGCAGGGATTGACGTACCGTCCGAGTGCTCGCTTTAAAAGGCAAAAGTCGGGCTCAATAAGGGGGTATTATGGCGATTGAAACTGAGTATAGAGATGCGAAGTGGAACGACAGTGGAGAAAAAACTGAGAAAAACCGTCGACAAGGCCGTTAACAAAACCCTCTTTCCCACTAGCAGTGAAGGAGGCTGGCTTGGGGAAGAGGCACGTACAAACAAGTTTTCTGGAGATGTCAGTCGTTCTATCGGTTGATACGGCAATCAACCTAGCTGATTTCACACGTTATGCCAGCCACGCACCACTTCCGGAGGTGGGCGGTCCCGGATTGAAACCGACGGCCCCGGGGCTTAACGACGTTTTTCAAGGTGGGAAGTTGCTGCAATGTGTGCAGCTACTCACATACAACCTCCAGGCACGGGAATTACTTCTCTAGCGTGCTCGTATAACTTCGTATAAGTTAGACAGATCGAACACTATTGAAGCATCTTAACATTGGAGAATTACAGCTCAAAATCCATGGATTTGGCGTGCGGCGGCGGCGCTCGCAAAATCGCTCTGGTCCCACGCGGTGCGAAAACCCAAAACGCGCGATGTCGTCAACGTGTTAAATAACCCACTAAAAATGAGGGTTTCATGACAAGGTCCTTCAACCGATCTTCAGTAAGCATTACAGCTCACAATCAGACAGCTCGTTCGTCGCCTTTTTTCACACAGAAGTATAGTAGGTGCCGTATATTAATAGTGTAAGTTCGCATGTGCCGCTCTTCATGCATGTAAAGTGATCGCCCTAGCCCCCACTCTTCTATTGAGCCCTGGCTCACAGATTCCTCGCTTTGCATCGAAGCGCGGAAATTTCACGCGCTGGCGACGACTCTCCCTTCCTCAAAACTTATTTAGCACCCAGGAACGCCGAAAAGTAGTTAAGGGACCTTCATGAAATCAAAGGTTTTGGAGCAACCATTTAGTTTTCTGGCTTCAGAGTGTGTTTCTCGCACTGCGGACGCCACGTAACTCCTTGGAATGTAACGAATTGCAACATGTTGCTCGTCAATTGCCCATTCATTTCGCAAGTAAGCAGAGGTTCTTAGCATCTTTTCTATTTTTTATTCTTCATTTTCTTTTGTTCTTTCCCTCATGAATATCAGAGGAACATCGTAATTGAGATTTGCATTATGGGTTCGGGTCGCTGGAGCAGAGAGCGACTTCTTCGCAGTGCGAAAATTTTTGGCTGTGGGAGCCCTAACGTAAGTCCAGTCGCGATCATGGGTGTGCCTCTTATGGCACGATTCCATTGGCATTAGAGCTCACAGAGCGTTAACTGCCACTTCCTTGTGGTCAGGCAGTTCGTCCGCGCACCATATTCAAATCCGTTCCTGTTGCCTTGGCATCAGGCCAACGCAAGCTATTTGCTTTTTGAGATTCAATGAAATTTCCGAGACCCAATTTACCAGTTCCAGCAACATAACCTATTTAACGGCTATCCTAATCTCGAGCATCTCCAAGCGTTTTACAAAAAGCGCTCTAATCCGGAGAAACAAGCAGCATCGGCGGTTTTTATGGAACCCAGTGAGACGCACACATGCCTCAAATGATTGTCCACTTTTTTGCTTGAGGTTGTGCTGTGCTCTCCCTTTTTTTCTAATAGCGCTTCGTCACTGATCTGATTGACTATCTAGCATTTTTGCGGATTTTCAATGTTTTAGGTGTGCGAAATCGTGCTGGAGCACACCTTTCGTTCACGTGGCGAATTCACTCTCAAAATGGTAAAATGCGTGATATTCATGCGGATTGGAGCAAAGTACCGATTGTGAGTTCCATCCAGGCGCGTCATTTATGAAGTCCGTCAACTTGGTATAATAATAATTCTCCCATGAATGCTGTCAATGCCATACTTAGCTTCTGAAATCCATTCAATCCAGATAACCGTTTACGGGTTTGTGACATCGTAAGTGATCATTTAACATTTTAACATTTATTACATGCGCAAGCACATGTCATAGACGAAAGAAATAACAGAATAATTTTCACAAAACCAACTGAAATTGGAACATGTAACCAACATACCAACACAGCAAATTGGAAAGTAACAAAGGATATGATGAGAATGGGTTCTAAAACAAGTGAAACAAGAAATCACAAGCAAGAATTGTCTTGGCTAAGATAACGATACACAACTTTTTTGAAGCCTGAAAAACAAGCCGGAATTTGCATCTTTTTGCTCAATTTAGTGTATTCAAGACCAGCCCTGAAAGTGAAGAAACCGCGCCGCAAGACAGTCCTAGGCTGATGAAGCACAAGTTCTAGTCCTCTTCAAATGGGATTTAAAGAAAAGTTTCTTCACTCAATTTGGTTTAAAAAAGTTCACTACATGTCCGATTTTGGATGAAAGGATAAATCTAATGGCAACGACGGAAATGGGAACACTAGACTTTTTGAACAAGCACAAGTACGAGGGTGTTTGGAGCAAAAATTGGTAGTCTTTAGCAGCCCCACAGGGAGCAGGAAGTGCAGGATCCGTGGGCATTTTGTGTTTGCTTCCACACCCACTAATGGAATTCGGGTTTTATTCAGGGGCGGGGGGAAACGTGTGGTGTGAGTGTCATATCGCCTGAAGTTGTCCAATCTTTTGCAGAGGAGGGAAGTTCCGGTGGTGGGTGCAAAGCGAAAGCGAAATCCACATCCACGCAAGCCGGAGTTTCCTGCACAAATTGGAATTTTGTAGGCAACAACTACCTCTCCCATTGCTGGATGAGACCCTGGAATCCTATTGCTCAACGCTCCTTTGCATTTTTACCCCGGCAATGCTCTATATGAAGGTATAGAAGGAATGTAGCACTGTGGCCAAAGAATTCTTGACTGTTATGGGCCATTTCTTTATCTCAAACCTTGGAAGCATTCAATTATTGCAGTATAGGATAAGCTGCAACACTATTTTTGTTAGGATGCTGACCCATTTTTGTTACGACTAATCAGAATCAGAGGCATGGCGCATCCCAAGCGCTTTCAGCCAACGCCGGAACCATTATCTTCTATCTTCTTGCTAGCCTTTGACTAATTATTCACTTTCATTGTAGATGAGACAAATTTGGTGCAAGCACGCTGTGTTCTACGTGAGGAACGATGTGGAGATGGGGTACTACCTTAACTCTATAGGAAAATGTGATCAGTGTGATGGAGCGTGTGCTACGTGCAGTGGCCCAGGTGCGGTTGAATAATGTTTTGTTTCTTACATAGGTCATCCACGCAAAGTTATGCCTTATGTCAAGATACTTGACTTCTAGGCATATTGGGTTGTACAACATGTGCATCGGGCTATGGTAATCGCTCCACTGGCTACTGCAAGCCTTGCTGTAATGAAGGAGAGACGTCAGATAATTACCGATGTGGTGGGTTTCTTCAATGTTCTTTTTAGGGCCTTTATCTTCCTTTCAATCATTCTTGTACGGCAGGTTTTTTGCCACCAGAAGCTCTCATTTTGAGACATCGCTTTTGTCAACAGTTAGGCAATCGAGGGCCTCAGATTTTTCCTCAGGAGTTTAGTAGAGCGCGATGCTCAGTTGTGCATCAGCAGTGAAGCTTATATATGGTTTCAGTTTCTTACCGAACGAAAAGTTTTCAACCCTTGGAGCTGTGCAGGACGCGGTGCTTCTTGCTTTGTTGTCATTCCAACTGCACGCGCTTGATTGTTGGGATATTTTTCTAAATGTGATTCCATATTCTATCAATCGTACCCTACAAATCATCTACGCTCTGTTTGCATTTGGGCAGGGGGGGAGATTGTCGCGGTTGCGACTTGATGGGCCTGAGGCACACACGGCCTTAGGAACAGGTCAAAAAGCACGCGCGTGAATATCACTTTAAACGCTTCACCTCGCGTGTGTTAGTTTATAATACCCGATAGGAAGGTCCCATGCGCCGACAGGCTGAGTACAGCTCGATACAAGATCGTGACACTACTAAAACTCCTTGTTTTATCATTTATCGACAAGGCTTCATCTTCCTGTAAGCGATGAAAGAAATTGCTTCTATTAAAGTATCGGTTTATTAATTTTTATCTTTCCAGAAGACTGCTCTCCAAATGCAAAATATCCCGATCGTAGCCACAGGAGCTCAGGCTTCTTCTGGTCCTTCGTATGGGTAATGATCATTATGTTTCTGTTCTCCTTTGTCGGCTGTATTGCATATTGCCTGTTGAGGGACGACCGCAGTCAAATTGAGTGAGTTTTTCTGTTAGTGCGAAATATATCTTACTATTCGTTCATTAGAGGGCTTACATAAGTCAGTTTCAGCTTATCCTGTATAACTGCATGTAAATAGGTGATGTTTCTGCCCACTCCGTCTTTTGCTACTTTCTTGCCTAGTTTAACATGGGAAGATGCGGCGATTCAAAGCATGGGATTTTGTGGAACTGGCCACCGCGCGGTAACATATCCGCTGTTCTGCCTTTTCGTAGTTAAGCAAGCCATCAGTTCCCGGACAGAAATGGCTGTGTTGCGCGGGGACTGGTTGTGTCCCAACCGGGTAGAATATCCCGACCGTTCCGACTGTTTTCAATCACTCCTGTGAACAATGTTTCTCGGTACCCGGTGCATACGTGGTTACGTCTTTCATCGCATCAAATTGAGAATTATTAGATTTCGATACAAGGTCTAGTATAATCTCGTCTGATCTTGAGAGTAGGGTTAACCCTGTGTCGAATTAATTCTCGTTTTGGAAGGTAATAATCATCTGTATTTGGGTATAGGTTAGCTGACCTCTGGTTCTTGTACGAGCTCCAATTTGAAAAGAAGGAATTGATTCAATTTGTGGATGTTAAGATTTCACCAAGTGAGCAGTTTCCAACCGCTAATTCTAGAACTGCAGTTTTTCTGGAGAACAATTGATTTTTTTTGCTAAAGTTGTTCCGTCCCCTTTATTTGAGTTTTTTTTTCGGGTTCGAGTGTCGTAAATGTTGACCAGTAGTGAAAGAAGTAAGAGTTTCACGATATTGTTAATGTATGACTCAAAATTTCTTTTACAGCTACACACCATTGCCTCATTACAATAGCCAAACAGGAGAGGTTCATATTTTGGACTCAGATTCTGATGAGGATGACGAGTTGTACGAGGCGAAACACGTTGAAGTTTGAAGAGTTCTCAGTTTAGTTTGGGATTAACTCGTTGACCATAACTGATGAAGTTTTTGTATAATTGTTTTATGTAGAACATGAATTAGATTTTTTATGGAACACTTTATGTACCCTAGGTTGTGAAGCTCAGTAATTTGAACACCCTACATCGAAAGCTTATTGGCATTCCATTCGCTTTGCCTTTGCATTGTTTATTATATCTGTTTTAACTAATAATATTGATCGACCAGTATCTGTGATTTCAATACTGAATTTCTACGAATTCATTTTCACTTTCCTATCAGTATTCCCTATCCGATTGTATTACCTCTTACTTTTAATATTGATTTGTTCATAATACGGGGTGAAGAAAGAGGAGTTAGAGATGAGTTCCATGGCCAATAGTTGTAGTGGGAATGTTACTGTTGTTGGGATACTTTATCAGAGACTAGTAATTATTGCTATTATTGCCCTTTCTTCGCCAAAAATCACGGCTATCTGTTTCATTATGTGATTATTTGTTTTTTTATCGGTTCAATGTTGCCTTGTTCACCATTGCTAATCAGTGATATTCTGTGTTCAATCAATGGCCATTATGGTTTTACTAGTGCCTTGTCGGTTTCTACACATTTCTCGTTACACTGATTCTGTTTGACAATGATCGGCGCTTGCTTTTTTCACTTCATTCACATCATACCATACGGTATGCACAGGTCTGTGAGAATGTACACATGCAGCTGTGTATTGTTGTTTCTACAGAGTTCACTCGACCATTATATCACCATAATATCAACATATCACTCGTGATATTAATGTTAACAATTTGTGATAAAGCATAAGAGATCTGGTTGTCTGTTTCTGTGCATGTTGGTTCAATGAGAGTACCAAATTTACTCCTTTGTGTTTGGCTTCACTGACTTTGAATATCATAGGAAATCAAACTGATCAAGTGACATCTGTGAAAGTGGATTGTGAAAGGTTCGCCTTGGGGCAGGTGTTAGACTTCGTGAAAAGTCGCTAGCGAGTCGCGCAGTGGGTCGCAAAGTCTGTCACGTTCAAATTGGAGAAAATGTGCCTACTTTGAATTAGTGCTCTACATAGGTGTTTTCGTACAGATTTAATGGATATCATTTGAGAAGTCATACTCAGCCGCTCTATTTCTACCCTCATTTTGGACATCGTCTTTGGGAAGCCGGTTCTGGTCGAAAGAAAGCTTAGACCAACCCTTTCGCTTCAACATACCAGCATCAGCATA